CTACAGTGTCCATTTCTCGTCTTCACATAATCAGTTGCAGTTTAGTTACTATTGCTGTTAAGTCTTCGCAAAAGATAACATGAAACTGGCCCTCTAGTAAGGGAGATGTGCAATAATAAAGGTAGCAAGGAATTCCACTGTAATAACAAAATTAAACAGAACACTTGAAGGGGCATTAAGATCTAAAAGTAGTTCAATATGTAATTTGTTGTGCAGTGTGCTCTTACTAAAATACAGGCATTGTGCAGATTCATTCTACAAACATATGAAATCCCTGTGTTCTCAACCTGTCTTAACTACAGGCCTAGTCACTGATCAGAAGGCTATTTGATACAACCCTGGGATGATGAGCAAAATGTAAATAAAAACAGAATGCAGTGATGTGCAAATCATTGAAATCTTAAAATTAATTGAAAATAGTACAATGGCAACATATCAAATGATGAAACTGAGAAATTGTATTGTCTTATGAAAAATATGTGCCCATTTTAAATTTGATACCAGCAACAAGTTTCAAAAAAGACATGGGTAACAAAAGACTGGTAAAGTAATGTGTAATGTGTAATGCTTAATAAAAACTGTTTGTGGAACATTTCACAACTAATTAGGTTAATTGGTAACAGGTCAGTAACATGACTGGGTGTAAAAAGAGGATGAGTCTTTCAGAAGTGAAGATGGGGGGAGGTTTACCACTTTGTGAAAGACTGTGTGGGCAAATAGTGCAACAATTCAAGAATAACATTTCTCAATGAAAAATGACAAAGAACTTGGGGATTTCATGATATATGGTAAATTAAAAGATTCAGAGAATCCAGAGAAATCTCTGTATACAAGTGAAAAACAATACTGGATGGTCGTGATCTTTGGGCCCTCAAGCAGCACTGCATTAACAACAGTCATGATTCTGTAGTGGAAATCACTGCATGGGCTCAGGAACACTTCCAAAAACAACTGTATGAACAAATGCAAGTTAAAACTCTACCATGCAAAGAAGAAACCATATATAAACAGGATCCAGAAACAAAATTTGAAATTCTTTTTGGAAATTATTAGTGCACATGGCATGGGTGACTTGCACATCTGTGAAGGCACCATTAATGCTGAACGATATATCCAGGTTTTAGAGCAACATATGCTGCCATTTAGATGACGTCTTTTTCAGAGAAGGCCTTGCTTCTTTAAGCAGGACAATGCCAAATAACATTTTGCATGTATTACAACAGCATGGCTCATTAGTAAGAGTCCGGTGCGAAGCTGACCTGCCTGCAGTCCACACCTGTCTCCCACTGAAACCATTTGGTGCATTATGAAATATGACAAAGGAGACCCCGAACGATTAAACAGCTGAAATTCTATATCAAGCACGAATTGCAAGGAATTTAAGGATTTTGCCGCCTATAGTACATAACATGGTTAAAAGATTCAGACAGTCTGGAGAAATAGAAGGAGAAGTAGAGGTGATAAAACACTCAAAAACTCTGGTCTGTCCACCTTTAAAATTGTATTTGGGAAAAAATGAACATTATGTTCTCCAGGTCAAAGAGGAAAAGGACCATCCTGATTGGTAACAAAGTTCAAAAGCGAGGGGCTGTCATGGAATGGGGGGGAAGGTTGCTGTTGGTGACGATGGCATGGGTGACTTTCACATCTGTGAAGGCACAATTAATGCTGAGGGGTACATATGCATTTTGGAGCAACATATGCTGCCATTTAGATGCCATCTTTATAGGGACATCCCTGCTTGTTTCAGCAAGACAAGGCCAGGCCACATTCTGCATGTGTTACAACAGCATGGCTTTGTAGTAAGAAAGGTATAGGTGCTAGAGTGGCATGCCTGCAGCCCAGACCTGTCTCCCTTTGAAAATGTATGCTACATTTTGAAGCGAAAAATAAGAACAATGGAGACTCTGGACTGCTGAGCAGCTAAAATGTTCTATCCAGCAAGAATGGGGAAAAAAATCCCACTTTCACAACTACAACAATTTGTGTTTTCATTTCCCATGCAATGTTGTTAAAAGTCAACACACCTGTAAACATGCCTGTCCCGACTTTTTTTGAAACATGCAGGTATCCTGTTTAGAATACACATATTTATGCAAATAACAAGGTAACTTAGTTGGAACATTAAATATCTTGTCTTTCTACTGTTTTAAATTGAATGTAGTTCAAAAAGGTTATGCATTGCTGTTTGTTTTTATTAAATTTTTTCTTACTGTCTCAACTTTTTTTTAATTGGAAAATGGATGTAGTTTCAGCTAGACAAAAGAAGCCAAACTGAGGTAAGGTATCTAGACAGCCAGGTGGCCACACTAACCTTTAGCTTGTTATCCTCCTCATCTGTTGAGTCATTTCTGTGATTTGAGTTGTCCATTTTCTCCACTGTAGTGATAATTTGAGAACTACATTTATTACAGTTATATAGTTTCAAAACTGCATGCCCCCCAAAATCCACCCCAAAGCAGTCGTAGGTCGTAGGACATCATCAGAAAGAGGTCTTTCATCAGAAAATCTTATCATCAGAAAATCCCACTCTAAAAACTACTGCTGTATGATGCTGTGCAATGCAAGTAGACATGTTTAAAACAATGTAACAATGGCTACATTTTTCATTTTTGTCTGCACTCTTAGGCAACATTTTAGTCTGTATATCATATTTATGGCAAGCATCACATCTTCTGGTCCAGTTCAAGAAAAATCCTCTAACGCTGCAGAGACTTGATCATTTCCAAACGTCATAAGGAAATAATTTCCATATTTAGTGGACAAACAGCTACCTGCCCTTTTTGCCATGCTCAATAAACAGTCCACAATTATTCAGTCATAACAGTTTAAATTGAAACATTAGGTAAAAAGAGCTGTTCCTTACATCCATTGTCTTAGATGTGCAGTTCTAGGAAAAAGCTTTATTGTTATTGATACTATGTACTATATATGTCATCATTGAAAGTGTCTTTACACTCACACATCTTTACACATAATGTACAAAAATGGTTAAAGAACCAATCAGTAAAAGGCAAATTTGTGGTCCTTCAGGAATGGGGTTATCCACTCCTACATAAAGAGAGACATTTTCCAAGTTTTGAAGAACCTTTTTCAGAGGTTTAGAATCATCAAGGAATAGTTTCATCTGGCACTGAAAGAGTTCTACAAATGTCAATACACTTATAAGGAACACAGTTTCCTTTATTTCTCCTTCATCTCAACAAAGAGCATGTACAATTTGACCTATTAAATGTGATGGATGATAAAACGGCTAAACACTTCTCTCTCATTTTCTCACTGTTTCTTTCATTTTCTCAACATTATGATTTAGTGTCTAGGCCTGTCTATAGTCCATATTAGGAAGGTGAAATCCCTATTCCACAGCAAAACCTACTCTGTAAACGACTGTAACGTGAGCACAATTCAGTACCCATCTCTCAATGTGTCAGTCCCCTCCAACATATATCTAAATAGCTTCCTACTCTGTGACAGCTGTGTGGTCAAGTGTACACAGAGGAGATTTACTGACCAAACAGAGATGGCTGCTGCATTGCCGACCGATTTCACTCAATGGAACAGTGTTAGCTTTTCTGCGTGGTAAAAAAGATCAAACGACAAAAAAAATATGATATATTTGCTAGCTGACTCCACATTTCCTTTCCTCTCCCCTTAAAAGACACATAAAAAAGTTGATATGTGAGTTACAGATGCTGTGTGATTGAAGTGACAAGCCAAACCTCTCGCCCACCTCACCCTCCCCAAACCCTCCGCCACATGTGGTCAGAGTGGGATTTAGATCTATATATGGCTCTAATCGTCCCCATCACTTCTCATTACTTGGAAAATTACAGAAATGTGAAACCCTTGGAACCGCATCCAGCTGACCGGAATCTTGTTTTTTCTTTAACTGTAAAAGAATGTAGAGTGAAAATTCTCCTTTTGGGATTTTTAATTGCTGGTGGTGCTGGAGAGAAACCAAGGTTTTGAAGTGTGTTGTTTTTTTTATGAATGAGCTTAACTCAGAAGCAAGTGTGGCATGACGAGCTATATAGTCAGAAAGAGTTCAGTGTTACATAGCAAACTTAGGATATTGATGAGTTTGGATAAATGGATTGTCCTGGAATTATCATTTCTTTGTAGACATTATACATAAGAACTAAATGTCTCAAATACCTTAAAGGGGAATTCCAAGGGAATTCAAAATTTCTGCATATTTCAGTTGTTAAAATGTAAGTACTTCGGAGTGTTTTGATGTGAAATGGTACAGTGCAGAGAAACTTTATTTACCTTATTCACTATCCAAAATGACCAGAGAACCTATATGTGTCTTTTTGCATGTAATGTTAATATTGATATAATACTGGTAAATTTTGGGCCAAAGCCTTATAATTGAACTAAATCATAAAACTAACATAAAAATGTCATTAGGCATCAGGCAATGCATTTACAACCATTTCCTGTAAAAGCTTTCTGTGAAGTAAAGTAAGTAAGCCTTCTAACATCTAGTTCCTAGCACCACAGATGTGAACAATTCTGACTCAGTGAGTCACTCTAGAATGGAGCATTTCACATCAAACCACAGAATGACTGTGGTTACATCTTAATGATTTCATTATGCAGACATTTTGAAAATCAGTGTAATCCCCTTTTAAAGTTGCAAAGTATTTGAGTTAATTAATGTGGACACCAGAATGAATCTATACGTCCCTCACTACCCAATGCCCACTTATAGACAGCACATCATGAGCTGGAATCAAGTACATTTACATCGCAGGCCCATATAAACATAACGTTGCTGTCATGTCAAATCCTCCTTCAAGTCCGTTTTTTTTCTACATCATTTGGAATTGCCAGCTGCCCTTCACATTGTATGAACACAATGGACCAACAGACATGGTACATGATTATTTGAATTGAAATGTCCTTACATTAAAGTTAGGCACTCTAATAAGTTACCATTTTTTAGTATCTTTATTTCTGTAACTGTAAATATTATAATTTCCCCCATCTTTCAAAAGGTGTGTGTGTGAAGGGCAACAACCTTTGGGAAGTGCCCACTGGCCACTTTCCCCCACCTGCCAATATGAGTTCCAGGCTACTTTGGGAGCCACAGTGTCAGACTCATCTCCGCCACCTGCAGTACAGGGCCAGAGTCACAGCCACAATCCCTCCACGGCTGGATGGTCACTGGGTCTCATCCAGGTGAAAATGTGAATTCCTCAAAAAACTATCTGGATTTAAATTGAGCCCAAATCACACTTTATTTGTGAATACGCATAATGATGCTTCTGCTGAGTACATATTTTATATTATGGAGCACATAGTGGTAGAAGGCTAGTTTTATTAAAGAAGAATTCCACTTTTTTAATGTTTGCATAATTCAGTGGTTGAGATGTAAACAGTCAATCAGAGAATTTTGACGTTTTTATTTGCTATCCAAAACTACCAGTAAACCTGCATATGTCTTTTGAGTTTTTATATGTAATGTTGAGAGTGATAAAATAGTGGTAAATAAATACATTTTCTTTGGGAACTATTTTGCCTTACAACAATCTGCACATACCTTTGTTGTGATTGTTGTGTTTTAATAATACCTTTTTGACCAAAAGATAATGTCAAAACAACTATGAGGTCACAGGGGTCAGGCAAAGTATTTATCTTATCTTAGTGATGTTTACATCTTAATTATTTAATTATGCAGACATCTTAAAAATTGCTCTTCAGATTACATTTGCAGCAGTTGAGTAAAAAATGCCACTTAGTCATGTGTAGTATGCAGTTATTAAACCCCACTCATCTTCAACTACACATTCTTTATTTCCCTAAGGTGTGAGGTGAGGCCTGGCCCAGAGTTCCTCACTCGTTCTTACACCTTTTATCCGAACCCTACACGGCTTTTCAAAGCTCTCCAGCACTACTACTCAGACAGTGACTGCCAGGTGCCAGCCTACTCTCTACTCATCCAGGGTAAACTGAAATTGCGCCAGGCTTCTTGGGTCACACGTGGAGCTACCGAGGCAGAACATACCCTCCATAAGGTTGCTTTGGTGATTCACAACCAGCAGAGCGTCCATCACCTTGCTGTCCATCTGCCCTTATACTGCCTGGGCCTTGGGCCTGGAGTTCCCCTGGTTCCTCATCGCCTGTATGAGCTCTTTAGTGCCAAGGCTGAAAAAGACTGCCTGGGTGCTCTGCATTTTTCCATGATGGAGCTGGAGTTACTGAGAATGGAGACTCAGTTTCATCCTCGTGGCCGTCCATCCAAGGAGCTCTTCCTTGGAGATGTGCATACAGACTGGAACCAGAGGGCCCATTACAGACCAACAGGGTATCAGGAGCCTCTACAGAACACCATGGTAAGAATTAGCATTGTTGTCAAGCATGTATAACACCATGGGTGTGGGCTTTATGCTTTCCAGATGTTTCATTTGCTATGTTTTATGACATTTGTATCCATAGCATGTAAATAACTGACGAGTACTATTTTAATCTATAGTGTGTCCTTTCTGTTTTGTTACTAGGCAACAAAAGGAAATTATCTACTGTAAACATGCCATAAGTCTACAAATACCAACTTGTCTTCCCCCCTCACTTCTCTATTTTACCTGTCAACACTTGCGAAATCACAGAATAACTCTTGGGTTTAGATTTATTAAAAGTCTAATGCTGAATATATGCGCCATCTAGAAAGTATTTAATGTTCATGTATTATTACAAATAAATATCTTTAACAAGCTTATAAGCTTCTTGGATGAATTCAGCTTATTATGGGATACAAGACCAATCTAGTTAGCATGATTTATGCTACATAGTATAATATAAATACTACTTAGAGAGAACTTAAAACTCCAATAACATTTTTTTCCTAGCTAAAATACATGTGAAATGCCACTGTTGGTATGTATCAACTTTATATAAATGTTTTAAGATCACTGTTCATTTGATGAATATTAACCATTCTGTAATACATTCAGAAAGAGCAATGAAAAAATTTCTATAACCAATACCCAATTTAGACAAAAAGGGAGCCATGAAAGCATAGTGTTTACAACATTTTGAATAGTCCAAAACATTCCCACGACATTGTAATAGCAAGAAGTGTCCTTTTCTAAGTTAATCAACAAGGAATAATTTAGGATTCAAGAGTTAGAGCTTGCCCTGTGATGGACTGGCGACCTGTCCAGGGTGTATCCTGCCTTCCGCCCAATGACAGCTGGGATAGGCTCCAGCAACCCCCGCAACCCCGAAGGATAAGTGGTTTAGAAAATGTGTGTGTGTGAGTTTAGAGCTAATTGAGGATTTGTTCATCTAGGTTGGATTTTAAATCCATCTGTGTTGAGCCACTAAATTTGAAACACCGATTAATAAATATGAGATATCGATTAACAAAAACTGTTATTAAATCCTTAGCCTTAATCTCTTCAAAAAATGTTTTGGTTTTGGAAATTTAAAGTTGCAGGTTTAAATGTAATGTCTAAATGTAATTCTTAAATAAACTTTAAATCTTTGTTTAAAGGAGCAACATGAATCAATTTAATCTAGTTTTGCTGTAAAACTAAAACCAGGATTAAAACGATCATTTAATGTACCTGAACCTGACTTTGAGTGGGAGTTTCCATAAAGTCCACAATTAGGCCTAATCTCAGTCTGGGAAACTGGCCCATAAAGTTTGCTGCATCTGAATTGATAGATAAACCACACTTTAATCCAAGTTTAAACTTAATCCCTGTTGGTACAACACACACTTTCACTGCATATCTACATAAAAAATATATAGTAAACAAAATTCTCTTTCCTCAGCATCATATTCACCCGTGTCCAGTGTGCGCCTTGGTCTATCGCTCCTCTGAACAACACCCTCCCATATTACCTCCTTCCTGGTCCATTCCTATGAATGTAGATGGCCGCTGGGTGAGCCAGCGTTGCGAAGCCCGTCCAGCTGTGCTCTTTCTCACACGACTTTTCATCTTCAGTGAGGAGCAACGCAGTTGGGAAGGCACCTACCATCACTACTCTGACCCCATGTGTCGCCATCGGACTTTTACACTTGTGGCATCGGGGCACTATGCCCACATGGAGCCTTCTGTTAAAATAAGAGGAGCCACTAAGTTGGTCTTCAAAGTGACTCATGCCAAGGTGACGGTGTTTGAGCAAACATTAGTGCGAGTGTTAAATTCCTCAGAGCAGGGAAGTTGTGGGCTTGCGGGTGGATGGGAACTGGGGGTGGAACAGGATATAACATGGACAGCAGGCTGCAGTGTGCTGGGGATTTTACTTCCGCACAAAGAGTATGAGCTATTTAAAATGGAGAAGGATCAAAAAGGCCAACCCTTGTTGTTCATCGGAGAAAGACCTTCAGATGGAAGCAGTCCTGATCGACCGGTGAAAAGGCCCACATCCTTTCAGACTCCTATGGTTCAGTGCAGTGCAGAAGCACAAGTGCCACAGCGCTACAGTCCCCACAGCAAGAGAACAAGGGGGGTCAGCTCTGCAAATGCACCTTATTCAGTCTTTGTTGTTTCGTTGATGTCTCTACTGAATCTATGGTTCTGGTATATGCTAGTCTAAAACTAAGCAATTCAGTTTTGGGGTGAAAGCAATGGAATCGTCTAAAAAAGGCATGTCCAGAGTTTGCTTCTTTAGTTTTACATGCCTAAATAATCACACAGACTTACTGATGTGGTTTTGTGTTACTGCATGACATACTGTTACATATAAGTTTAGACTTAATTCAGGCTTCAGGATTGCTGCTACTACTGTTTTTAGCTGTATGTTGTAAACTTTTTGCATGGTACTAATGGGTAGGGCTAACATTACCTGTTAGCTGCATTAGCCTTGTCTTTCTAGAGCAAAACCAAAGAGGCAAACCTTAGACACCAAACTTATCTTTGCTGATAAGGGTGTGAAATTTTGTAAATCAAATTTTTGCCTGACCCATCACTTTAAAATGTGGGGGCTTACATTAAACCTTCTCATGTACTGTGTAAAAACAAGCCCACTTGATGGGCATAGCTCAGTATGCTGGATCTAACGGTGTTAATTAGGTGCTATAACACTGTATCTAGAATACTAACAACCATTTAAAACTCTCTAAATATGGTGCTATTTTTGTAAAGGGAGGAAGTGGGTTTCGTGATGAAAGCAAAACGTACATAGAAATCTTTTTCAGTTATGTATTGTTCTATTTCTGAACATGTCTATTATGTAAAATGCTGTTCTGTAAGGTTGTTTGAATGTAACATAGAGGAATAGTGATGTATATTTTCTTATATCAATACAGAACTGGCTGCCTAAACGAATGTCAGCATTCCAGAAATGAATGCACAGTGAAGTCAAGCAAATCCAAAGGGAAATGGCATCCAAACAGCTGACTAGAAAAAGACCAATGAGTTTTCCGTACATGGTCTGGGGAAGCGTCCGGTTGGTTTTGGCATCTAGACATCTCAGTTATTGACCTTGTATGTCTTGATTATGTTGGCAAAGAATAGTGGACTACATCCAGCATATCCAGGAACACCCCTAAGAATTACTCTGTATTCTTTCTGTTCTGCTGTCTATAAGGCAAAGCAGTTGTTCCTGTCTAATGTTTAATTAGTCTAATACAATGTCAATCATCTAATAGTGAAGAATATACTTTTTCATATTTATTACTACTCAAACTAATTGGATAGGGAAAAAATTAAACAAAGTGTTGTAGTTACTAGAAATATTAGTTCCATCAAGAAGAATATTGGTTACATACATAGAACAGAGATAACAGTCACTAACCCATACTTATCCATAGTCTAGCTACACACTGAAATCAGTTTGGGGAGATTCAGTACGAAGCGTATTTAAGCACACACCTACAGCTTGCAGTGACCCATATTTGATCAGGACAGAAATTTTATTACTGCATGTACTTTTGCTTTTCAAAACTAAACTTGCTGCATTTTAGCATTGTGCACAGCGGTCACATCAGTGGCACAGGCAAACTTAATTTTGAGTGGGTGGGCTCAACTTTGTAGATACAGTTTCCAAAAGCAATAATATCCTGCAACATTTGACCAGTGGCATTCAAACTTTTGCATAAAACTCTATAATAGAAAACCTTTACTTCTCTCACAGTTTACAGCTGTACCATGCATTAAGTAGGCCCCTAAAACAATGGTCTATTCACATTGCTGAAGGCATGTGTAAGACATTTGAAAAGAAACTGTCATATGGTGTGCACATTAGTTCTCTACTGCTATGCGATGCCAATAAGCGCAAATGATCAGTACTCTGTATATGGCTTGGTCCTTGCTGTTTATTTAGAAGAGCAGGAACTATTCCAAATGTTAGGTTTTGGTTCATCAGAGCATGCATCTTTTTTGTGAAAGTGGTGAGATTTCATGCTCAAAACCAAAACTTTTAAGTTGGAAACAGAAGCATACTTTTCCAAGAACACTAATGAAATCCATCAAATATGCACACGTGTAAGCCATTCAGGTAACATACCAATACCGTTAATGAAGCTTATTGGGTTATTGAATATTGGCTGATATCGATCAAATATATTTTCTTTAAAAATGACTTAGCTTTAAAATAAGCTGTTTTTAATTAAAGCACTTCTCTTAAGATGAGCATCTAAAAGTAGGCCATCATGCTTAAACTACTCAACACCTGACAGGAAGAATGCACAGCTAACTTTACATCACACAATGTGAGCATGCTATTTCAGGATACATCCAGTCTAGAATTTTCTGTTGATAATGGCCTGATGCTAAAGCCTGGTGACATCTGAAAACAATTAATGTACAACATTAAGATCTGAAAATTGTTTGGATGACAGCATTATTCAGATGATCACCCTCCATTGATCAAACCATGAAATCACCATGAAACCATATTGATAAAAATGGTAATTTTTTTTTTTTAGCGTTATTACACATGACCGTGTTTCATTTGACTGTTTGTCCATTTCATTTTTGTATTTTGTATTCTCTTTCAGAATAAATAATAGACCTTGCCATATTTCTGGCTAAAAATAATTACATGATGCTTGCTGGCAGAGGAGGAAGAGAAAAAGTCATATCCAAAAACCAGCTCACTGTTCCCATTAAATCTTGTAATAGTCACTGTGAATGCCATGAGGTAATGCCTTTTAGGAAGAGTAAGTGTACTGAAGGCTGAGATTTGGAAAGAACAGTGGGGCTGGGAGAGCAATGAGAAAAAAATAAAGCAGAATTGATCTCCACATTGACACTCAGGATGTCAGAGCTAAAGCTTAGTGCCTTTTTGAAAATATGCTTCACCCACACACCACCACCGACAACACATCTGTGCTGGAAAGATAATAAGATAGAAGCAAATTAATGTATTATGCACCACTGCCAATGGCACTGAAAAGTAACTGTCACAAAATAAAACTGATATGTACATAGAAGAGCACTTAAAAAGTATTAAGGCGGTAAAATCAACATATTTGCTTCAAAATTACAAATATGTCAAATATGTAAAAATTACAAATAATACAAATAATAGTTCCACTTTTTGTGCTCAGCACCTCCAAATTCCATTTCAACTCAGCATATTATTAACTCGGAAATGAACTTTAAAACAGTTAAAGTAGCACAAATGTTAGCTCTTGGATTTATGTTCAGTAACTACTTCAATTCAGGGGTGGAAAATACTTTAGTAATTGTACTTTGATACTATATTTAAGTATTATTTTGGGATTGGAATTACTTTACTTGAATAGCACCAAAATTGAATACTTGTAATTCTACTTAATGAAAGTCCCAATAAAAGAGAAACTTACTTTTTACTGCTTATATTTTAATTTAGACATTCAAGGATATGTACTTATTTTCATTAAGAAAATCAGCAAAACATTATTTGACTGGGGGCATGCAAACTTTTGCATAAAACTGTTTACAGTAGTATGTGGTTTTAGATGTAGCCAGAGCATGGTCAGTTAATCTCGAGCACAAACATTATTTTAATGTTAAATAAACAAACATAAAAGAAACAAAAAAAGAAAACTAAATATAACAAAAAACATGACTCTTGATCTTAATCTTTACCCTTTTTTGCTTTTATATACCTGAGTATATTTGAATGTTGATACTTTTTTACTTTATACTCACTCAAGGGTTTTTTTTTTTTGGCTCTATACTTCGGCTTTTAATAGTGTAAGGTTTTGACATGGTACCCATGCTTTCTCTTAATTATAATTTCTCTGTACATTTTACACCCTTGCATCAGTCTAATGAGCTAATGCTTCCCACCATATTCATATTGAGAGGTTAAGGGGCTCTGTACAGTAAGCTTAGAAGCACCTTCAGTAAACTTCAGTAAACAGTAGACAGAAAGTACATTGTTATAAACTTTAGTCACACTTTGACAATCTTATATCATCAGTAACACTCAATGAGCCATAGTCTGCCCTGACATCACTGAAACTATATTTACTGTAATTTCATCCTTTAAAGGTCATTTGTCAAAACACTTATGTTCATCTAAAACAGGTGCCAGGGCACATAAAGGTTTAGTTATAGCAAAATGAGTATAATAATAATAATAATAATAATAATAATAATAATAATAAAAAAAAATCAAAAAAGGAAAACAAGAACTGAATAAATTATATACGACCCCAAAATGTCTGCTCTCTCATTGAGTGAGGGGATGGGCGAAATCAAACATCCTTACAGGCCAATTTTGCCAAACTGGCTTCAATTTAGGCAGGCCTGCTACACTTTTTTGTGAAATGTTACAAACTTGCACAGTAGTTATAATTATTATCATTAGCATCATTAGTTGTAGGATGGCAGTTACTGTTATTTATGTTAGTAGAAGAAATAATGTACAAAATAAGTCTTTAACGCAAATCTTAGCTGGTTAGTTATGCAGAGATCTGACCTGTAATCACTGAAAGGGCATGAATGTGGCAAACATTACATTTTTGGGTATTGTTGGCATCATGGTTAATGGGGCATTCCGGTCTAAAACTAGATTTTAATATTTTATTTGTCATGTTATGTAGCACAGCATTTCATGCCTCAGCATCATAGGTTGGACCGAAATTTGTCATTTTGTGTTTTTAATGCGTTTTCATCCATTGGAGATCCCTAACTTCAGTACCCAGCATGTATTATGAAACACGCTAAACAAGCACGGGAATCTGTCATTTAGCAATAAAGAAACCTAGAGGCTAATAAATACAGACGTGATATTCGATTTCCAAGCAGTAACGTTAGCTATCTGGCTTCTTTCTGTATTAGCCAGCTAGCGGGGAAAAGTAGTAGTTCTCCACAACTTCAAGATTTATCATTTGTAGGTCTTTTTTCTAGTCTTTAAAACAGGAAATCTCACTCTCGTTGCACCACTTTAGGAAGCAAGTAGGCACGTTTATAACGTAGCAACGGTTACATTTTTATTTTAGTCGAGTGTCCTTTTAAGATGAACCTTTCGGATTTGTGGGACTTTTTGCTTAAAATTCTATTTAATCTTTTTAAGTCTTTCGTTGTTAAGTCATATGGTTTAAAGACAGCAGGCCTGACCACTGTGAGAGAAATGTTTAAAAAGAGGGAATGACATCTGAATGTACAGCTGACGTCCACGTAATTTAAGAAAAAGCCAAATGCATGACACTTAGGATTTGACAGTTACTTTCTGTCCCTCTCCCTGCCTTTTTTTCAATCATATCTTCAGTGAGTGAAAAGTATTTTCACTGGGGTTTATGGGTGGCTGACTCCATAGTCATATGCATTCCACTTTTGGGCCCTAAAAATACTAGTTGCTCTAGTAAATCATGCTGTATTCCTCTCTTTGTTGTACACATCTCTGTCAGCAGTTGGTGAATGAAAAAAACATTTGGTCATTCACTACTAGTGCTAAGGTAGTAACTTGTAAGGTGGTACAAAAAAAGTAAAGCCCATACAAACCTGTACCAACTGGCCCGTACAAGGGAAAATGCAGTTGTCCTTTTCCCTAATTCATTTAGAAAAAAGACAATAGCAGTAAACACGATTAAAAAGGAACATGCTTACACTACTTCATTACAGGAAAATGTAATCATATTTCAGCAACACAGTTCACTACTGTGGTCTTCCATGGTCTGGCAAATTATTTGCTGTTTTTAGGTGCACCAGTTCATTCTTGCTTCTCCAAAAACCTATCATTTTGACAAAACTAATGTTATTGGGTTTATTTTCACTTCGCAGCCTCACAAGCACTGACAATTCTTTAGCTCTCAAGAAAGACAACAGGAACAATCTTCAGCCACAAACTCCACATTGAAAATTAACTCTAGACATTTGTTACCTCTCTTGTGAGCGAACAAGGCAACAAAACATCAAAAAGGCAACTGAGCAGCAAAGTGTCCAATCACATATGGTCAGTATAGATGTAAATCATCATGAATTCAAAACATCTTGTACTTCAACCTCATAGTCATTGTTTCATTTCAAAGTCATGTGCCAGAACACAGAGCCAAACATGTCCAAAAAAATGTCCTGTCTTGAAACTGAATCACTTGCTTTCTTTGGTGTCAGTTGCAACCAAAGGCTTGCTTTTTGACTGAAAAAAGTTTGACGCGTAAAAAAATGTATTTTACTTGGAGGGAAGATGTGATCATGTGATCTTAGGCCCACAACTGTTATAGTAAAATGCCCTTCAATTTAAAAAGGAAATAACAGCCATAGAACAGACCTTCTCTGAGCAGACCTCAATTAGCTCCAGATTAATTAAAGGCAAGGTGTCTGAAAGCTACTACACAGAGTAAGAAAAAAAATGGTCTCTTAAGAAATGTACACCAATGAAAGAAAAATCAAGAATAATCATGTAGACCTAACTTAACAATACAATCCAAAAGAGTCTGGCTCAATTAGTGTAGAGCTCTGCTGGGAGTGTACTTGGCTTTGTTGTTCACTACATATCCATTTCATTTTTTTTTCACCTTTCTTTTTTGTCAAGGCAAATAATAAGTATTTGTAAGAAGTAATTTGTGGCATCAGGCCATGACACACCTTTCCCTTCTCAGGAAGCAGGCATTAGCATAACACAAATGCTTCAAGTATAAAACCCACAACCTTTGTTCTCTCCTGAGGCAAAAGAAAATATTGCAATATTTAACATTTGTATAGAGAATTTAAGCTTCAGTGCTAAATTTTAAGTAACTTTACATAAGCTATAATACCCAATAAAGTGGAAATACATAAAGATGACCCCATAAACGTGCATGTGTTCCTAAGGACACAGTAATTGCCTTCTGTTGTTTCTGCCAGAAAATATCCTGAACACCTACATCATGAACATGACTGGCCTACTAAATATGGGCTCTCTACTGGTGAAACATTGGTCTGTCACAAAGTGGAGCTGCTTGCCTGTATTCAGAAGTTTCCAACTTAAACATAGTCTCACTATAATACCAATCACAAGCAAATAATTTAAAGCCTTTATGTCTATCATTAAAGGGTATGTCACAGATAGAAGTCCTGCATAATTCAATCATTGAGATATAAACAAAGCCATTCTGAATGGTTTGATGTGACATTCAGAGAAATTTACTGACTTGGATTTCTTTACAGTGGTGGTCATAGGAACCAGGGGTTACGATGTGTAGAATGCAAATACAGCCATTTTATTTGCTATGGCTTTATGGAGTTTTTATATGTAATGTTGATAAAATAGTGATAAATCTGGAGGAAAAAAAAAGTTTAGTTTGGATAATGTTTTGTCTTACAGGACCCTGTATATGCCACTTTGCCATGAATGGATTGGGAAAATTACATTTTAGGCCACAATCTTATCCAAAACAATCATAAAACAGACACCACATATTGCATTCCTAACTATTTAGTGTAATAACTTTTGTGAGGTAAAGGTTAGCCTTTAGAGGCACTGAACTCTTCAGACATCTGGTTCCTGATACCACTACTGTGAACCATTCTGAAGTTTCTCTTGAATAGGGCATTTCACATCAAGGCACTATGGACAACTCCCAGCAGATCTTAAAATTAAGGCACTTAACACTACACATGAGGTCACAAGTTAAGCATCCTTGACAATGTGTTGTTGCACTTGATTTTGGAAAAAGAAAGGACATCACAGAGAGTTAGATCTGGGGCTTTATTGATTGAATTTATTAAGATGCTACATAGTCCAACAAAGTTGGGAGTTTTGTTTTTTTTTTACACCATTATAGACTACTTGACTAGGAATATCAATCTTTATTTTCATCTTAGACTTAACTATTTATTTATATACATACAAAACTGTCATCTTCTGGTTTATATTATGGTGAAGATTTGGGGCAGTAGGAAACTTTCCTTTGAGTTTTCATGAGCCAGTTCACTGGCTTATCAGCCTCCAAAGCCCTCCTATTCCATAGCTCTACAGTAAACTGCAGTCATAAATTCATTACTATTACTACTACTCCCTGAACACCTCTCAAAACAATTAAAGTGTTAAAGTTTTCAGCTCCTCTGTTCTTAGTACCCAATTATCTGAATAAATGAGATGACAAACTGAAAGTGTAGCATTTTGGGAGTAAGGATGAAAAAGATGAAAGGGACACCCTCCCACAGACAAAAAGCCATGAGGGAAAAAAAAACAGGTCACAAAGTGGTCCCCTGTAGATGTTCTTTAAGATATCATCGTTCTTGTCTCAAATACTGCGCAAAAGTGAAAGAACAAATTGTTTTTATGGGAAGATACTGAGAAAACATTCTTCAGATGCAGTGCATTTCTTTCATAGAAACAGAGCTATGCAATAAAAGCTTTATTCATAACTTAATTCCAAATCATCAAAACAAAACAGAGGGCATGAAAAGAAAGAGTTTTTGCGTAAAACGGTAGAGGATAGTTAGGAGAGTCTTTAAAGCCTAACGCAGCAGGATAAACCAGTGTATAACATACAATACAAACGACTCACAAGGCAAATCTGAGCCATGCATTTGTCTGAAAAACAGAACCAAGATGGCATGGCTTGAAAACACATGAGCGGTACATGGGACAGGCCATCAGGAAGTTGGGTGGTTTTGAATGCTGTAGCACATTTGCCCAGTATTGCACATAATGTTGGAAGAAAGATTGAGAATGGGTCACCCGTTAGCCTGATGATGTGTTTTCTGATGAGCGTCACAAGGCAAGAGGTCCTCAACTGGATAGCTTTTAGTGAATTTGAACCTAGAGCTTTGCCAGAGCTTAGGCAGGGTAGCTGCATTATTATAATATAGCTAAAACAAATAAAAACATAAATATCACATTATCACAAGTTTACATGTCGCATAAATGAAACTGAGCAGTGCCAAAGGGCTGAAATGAACCAAAATTTCAATTACAAAAGCAACAAAGTAAAACTCTTTTTTGCTCTTGTTGGAGACATGCGATCAAGCATCTATCAACTGTCAAAAGGAAGAAGATAAAGAAATATTACATATAACACCTACCTCAATCGTAACAACAGGAAATTCGGTCTGTGCAAAGCTCAACATTGGAAGCGTATTTTTTTTTTGTTTTTTTGTCTTTTTCTAACATTTGCCCTGCACTTACTCCCAACCTCCTCTCTGACTTATATTTAAATTACTTCATAAAAGAGGAGTGAGTTCAAGGATGGATGCGCATGTTAACACTTTTCATAGAGCATTTAGTGTTACTACAGATTATGAGCTTGCAACTTCTGGCCTACATGGGGGGAAAAAAAAAATGAATCAACTCAACATTCACCTAACTGTTGTTTCACTCTGGGGTTAGAAACCTCCTTAGAACAACTTAATATGACTTTTTAATCATCAGCTTCAAACTATGTCAAATAGCAGTGAAAGAGGGCCAGAATGATGTCAATGTGTTTTTTTTTCATGGCAGAAACTGTCAGTTTTTGTCCTTTCCCTTGAATGTTTCTTTGCACATAAAATTATTTAATTTCCTTTTAATTTTAAATATTTCAATAATCCAACACTACCCAAATGATATGGCATTCCAATCAAACAAATTCTGCATCCGTTACTTCATTTTGTTAGTTTCATCCACAATGCATGCTGTTGCTGCTCCCTTAACCTTTACAAGAGCAACTTGCCAACGATGACACCAATGACAAAGAACAGGACGATGAGAGCAATCACCCTGATGCTCAAGCCTTCCTCCTTCACTGTAACTGATGAAGATGAGGACTGCTGAGCTGCCATCACTGGACTCTTCCTCATTCGCAGGCCATCATCCTCCTGCTGTGGAAATATTGTAAGACATTGGTGGGGAGGGGTGATGAAACTTAACCCAGTGTTCTGCAGTGTTCTATTTGTGACCCTTTGCTCCTTTGGCGTTTTTTTCACTGCACATTCAAAAACAAGAAGTGCTCCAAACAAAAAAAAAAAAATGTACCTTATGATTGTAGTTTTCATTCACTTTCCGCCTGCTTGAGACATTTGGAACCGTCACAACAACAACTATTAACATTTTTATTGCGTTTCTGGCTGTTTTATCCACTCTAAAACCTCAAATTTGTCTATTTTCTACCTTGCTTTGTAGTTAGTGTAACTTATTATCTCATATGAAGCAATATATTGCACTATGCTGCGCACACAATCTTCAAAATGTCAATCATCGTACTATCAAGCAAAGCTGTAAAATCATGCAAAAACAGTCGTTCAGCTGTTTGAGGTTTCAGTATTTAATACTGAAATCACTTATCAGGTACTCTTTTCACATTACACATACAAATGAATAATTCAATGAACTGCAGCTTTTGACTGGACTGGTTTTGCTTGTGAGAAAGTATGCAATCTGCCACTTTAAAACAGAAGCGCATGAACGTGAGTGCGTTGCCAGGGACATGAAGGACAAGAACACAATTTAGAAGGCAGATGTAGTGTGGCTGCGTCACTAACTAGGCTAACTAGTCTAGCTGATGTTAACTATGTCCAAAAACAGTGGCAATATATTTTACTGGCAGACTAAATGCTGGCACAGTGTCCACTGAGATGAAAAGACCTTGTGCAAGATGAGTCCTCTTTAGAATCTAGTGTTGTACCATTTAGCTGTAGTCTTATTTCACATCTCAAAAGGCAACTAACATGAAAACTACAGATTTCCCTTTACTTTTTAATATTAATTTTGTGCTAGTTTTTTTAGTCTCTTAGTTCCAGACCTGTCACTTAAAAATGCTTTCAGCTCTACATTAATTTCAGCCAAAGTACCTTTTTGTTTTTTGCCACTCCAGTATCAAAATCAGTGCAAATGCACATCTCTCATTCTGTGGCAGCTAGCATAAATGCTAAACAGGCAATCCTGTTTCAGAGTGGTAAAAAGTGCTTGATGACTTGGAAGAGTAAAGAATTTGTTAAATTGTCATTGATGTTTAGGAAAGTCTGTTCATTTTGTGGCCAATCTTAGCAACACCACCAGTTATTTTCAATCATACAAGTCAAGACTCCTATCTCTTTAAATGGGGAGAGACCTATAAATCCAGAACTGAATGCCACATTAACATTTTAGAAACGTATTTAAAATCACTGGTACAGTCTGAAATTAAAAAGCATAAATAATTTGTGGTTTCTGCTAAAATAATGCACAAAAAAAGATTTTTTTGTAGTTCATTCTGGCTACTTTGCACGTGCATATCTCCACAGTGAGGGTGGGCTTTTCCTGCTTGCGACTTTTCCAGCAAGCCCAATGGCTTTTTATTTAAGGGTGGGACCTTCCTCATAAAAAGATGCCATGTTGAGTGTAAAATTGTTAAATTCGCCTTTCCACCGGTGAGTTGTCTCCTCTTCCTTCATAATGTCTCTGCTTCGTTACTGGACCTACTTGTACTACTACTTGCGTGCAGTGGAAAAAACGCCCTTTATTTATGATTCCTTTTTTACCACGGTCCACTAAAACACTTACCCTAATCTGTTTGTTTTCTTCCCGTAGTCGCTGCACCTCCATTTGAAGTCTCTTACACTCCTCCATAATCCTCTTCACCTCTCCGTCATCCAGACTGGACACCATTGACTTCATGGACAACGTGGATGACTCAGATTTCAAAAGACTAGAGGACATCATCTTATTGCTGTCCATTTCGTGCTGTTGAAACACATTCACGTTCACACATACATTCGCCACCCACACATAGTCAACTCATGAAATCAAGTTATATTCAAAATGACACAATACATAACTGCATACGGGTTCTCTTCAACTATTTCAGTATAAGTGGGAATGATGATGTGCATTAATACCATACCATCACTATTTCATAAAATAACAGTGGAGTTTGTTTGTAGAGTGTACTTTAATGGATTTTAAATTTATTGCATAAATAGTTTATTTTAATGGATTTTACATGGTATCCAGGACAGTTAACTGTAATGAATGTCATGTGTTTGGTGCTTCAGATTGTTTTGAAAGAAAAATCCAAAATACATAAAAACTAATTAATGTTTCCTTTCTGGAAAACCCTGCTTGGTTAAAATTTACAGTGCTGCTAAAGTTACCCTTTAGGGTAATTTTAAGAAAAGAAAACAGTATATAGTACCCTGGAAGCCGTTGTTCACTAATTTTATCAGATATTGCTAATGCCAATATCTGATACTGTAATATACTCAAAAAATACCACACTACTGTATTTTATCCATACCACCTAGCACTTTATAAAACTGACAACGACCTTACCCTGATACAAAAAATAGCACACTCTCAAATCAGATCTGTAAAAACAGCACATTTTGTACTTAACTAAACAAATCAATGTGTTACTTTTAAGTCGAAATGTGCTAAAATATTTCTGTGCCCAATTATGGATAACACATTTTAAATCAACTGTGTTAAAAGTAACACAAAATGTGTTAAGGGAACATAGAATTTAAAATATGAAGGAAGGTGATAAACTAGGGAGTTGGTCGGAGATGTGGCCGGATGTTAAGCAGTACAGCTACCGTTTTCTCGTTCTCTATTGGCATCTCAAAGACACACCGCAGCTTGGAGTCCATCAGCTCCTCTGGTTTGGCCTCCTTCCACTGCACACGAAGATGGTTAAAAAAAAAACAAAAAAAAACACACAACAAAAAATTTAAATCAGATGAAAGATAGAGGAGTGAAGATGAATCACACAGGCAGGGAGAGATCCATAATTATAAAATGCAACTATTTCAAAACAAACATTATTTTTTATTACTTATTTTTTTAACCTGTTTCTACTGTTTTTTTTTTTCAAAGATTTTATGTATTTCATCCTCAACAGTGCACAGCATTATTAAAAGATGTAGGGAATCCGGAAAAAGGGTTTAAATTGCCAAACCACAACTGAATGGTCATTATCTTCGATCCTTCAAAAGGCACTGCATTAAAAAACAGTATGCTTCTGTGATAGATATTACCACATGGGCTCGGGAATACTTTGACAAACTGTTGTCAATAAACGCTGTTCGTCGCTGCATCCACAAAGGTGAGTTAAGTTTGTACTATGCATAGCGGAAGCCATATATCAACAACATCCAAAAATGCAGCTGACTTCTCTGAGCCTGAGCTCATCTGAAATGGACTGATGCACAGAGGAAACATATTTTGCTTCAACTTTTTTAGATTGTTTATGGAAACAATGGACGCCCTGTTCTCTGAGCCAAAGAAGAAAAGGACCATCCAAATCGTTACCAGCGTAGTTCAAAAATTTGAAAGCCAGGGTCTGTCATGGTATGGGAGGGTATTAGTGGTGACTTACCTATCTGCGAAATCACCATTAACACAGAAGATATATACATATCACAGTAAACACAAAGCAGGCATGAAACCACAGAACGTTCTTTTTTTTTTGGCGTTTTGCTGGGCTTGACAGCTGTGTACTCTATATTCCTAATTTACCATTTTCCAACACTTTACTCATGCATTAAGTAGTTCACTAATGTTACCAGCCAAATTTTCCCAGATTTGGATTGTTGAAGCCTTAGCATTGTGAATTCTAGCAGTAGAGAGCTCTATCATAACTATATTGTGAAAATAAAATAACCACTTCCTACTATGCAATATATGAGGGGTACCCAATGCTGAACTATCAGTTTTTTTTGCTGTGGTCAAACCAGCAAACATAATTTTCTGTTGTTTCTTATTAAGCTGTAGTTGTGAATCAGCATTAAGAAGCCAAACAAAAAACTGGTTGAAGGGGAATGTCCTTTTCTATATATTTAGAAAGTACAGAAGTCACTCTCTTCCAAAATGAATAAAACTCTGGACAATCCCAAACCATGTGTTTCAAAGAACCAGGTCCTAAAAGAGCCAGGTCCCAGAATCCTAAAGAGCAAAACTCACAGTTAGCATTTGATGTCAGTTTAGCATGAAATCTTGATAGCGGTGTCCAGTATGCCCTATGACAGAGCTTAAAGTAAATCAGTTGGTGATTATAATGTTTTTGATACCTTAAAGATATTTCTCCCAAGCCACCTCCTAATCCTGAGACTCAGCTTCAATTACCAAATCCTTTCCCACTGATTTTGTATACTAAGACCAGTCAGGGTTCAACAATAACAACTGCCTGAATGCCCGGGGCAGGTAAAATATGATGTTGGGACAGCAGCATGAAAAATCACTTGCCCGACCGGGCAAGTTAATGTTGGGGTGAGGGCTGCAGTGTGTTAACAGAATGATGTAACTGAGGCCAAACTCAGTTCACTTGAATATTTAACCCCTCGCCATACAAAACGGTCTTATCCATTCGTGCGTCCAGTTAAAACAAACCAATGGCTTTATTTGTTGACAAATGACGTCAGGACGAGGCACGCAGGAAAATGTCGGCGAAGCGCGAATACGAAGCAAAACAAGTGCGCAGCTTCATTCACTCATGAAAAACTCAGTTCTCATGGGTCGATGTTGTATGGGAGGCAAATCCAGCCAAAAAAGAAATCAAAATTAAAACAATAAAATGTAAATGCAAACCTCTTTTTGCCATTTCTTTTTCCAAACATCTGCACAAATATCCTGCCAAAATTGAAAATGTAATGAAAAACCTATATTTGCAATTTCGTTTTTCACATGAGCACGAGCCATTTGTGACAAAAATAAAAATAAATGTAAAACCGCTACTTGTCATTTCATTTCAGTCGTTACTCTGGTATTTCATGGCCATATCTAAAATGAAAAAGCTAGTAGAGAAAAGAAAATCCAAGCTTCACCTTTGCTTTGGCTTTTCTTCATGAAATGCAGAATACGTGCCAAAACTAAAATCAAAATGTAATGTTTACGTTCTTATTTCCAATAGGCTGTATATCTGACAAAATTAAAATGAAAATGCAAAATGGATAAAATCTACAGAAAAGTGACAGTTTGCGATTCAGTTTTCGGCGTGGATGCGCTTTAAGTGTCAGAATGAAAAGGCAAACGCAAATGAACATCGAAGCCCCCTGCTGGAGATTTACTTTTCATTTGCCACTTTGTTTTTTCATTTTCAAATTGACTAACATGCAAATATATGGTAATTAGCACTAGACGGGGCTACGGGGTACATTTTAGGACATCCTGAGACCTTAGGAAATACCAGAATAATGACTAAAATTAAATGACACATAGCTGTTTTAAATTAATTTTTATTTTTGTAACAAAATACTCGTGCTTATGTGAAAAATTAAATTGCAAACGTAGGTATTTCATTTCATTTCCAAATTTGACAGGATATTTGCGCAGATGTTTGGAAAAAGAAATGGCAAAAAGAGGTTTGCATTTACATTTTATTGTTTTAATTTTAATTTCTTTTTTGGTTGAATTTGCCTCCCATAGATGTTGACCCCTCTGCACCTGAGATGTTCTGTAAAGTTTGTAGGGAATGTCCTAAGAAGGCAGATAAAAGTGGTTCTTCTTTGTTGGAACTACAACTTTTAGAAAACAGTAGCTCGAGTGTCACGACTCTCTCTGTCTCTTGGTTACAGTGCATGAGTAGCAGCGAAAAAAGCTGCTTGGGCGTCTGGGCTGCTTGACATGGGCATACAACGGATGAACAGTGAAGCAGATTCCAGGTTGACCAAGTTAGTCACAACAGCATAAAAACAGAAAAGACCCTTCACAGACTACCCACATGAAACAGACTTAGAAATGGACTGGAACTTGGTAACCAGTTTTGTACCGACATGGTTTGCAGAAAGTAAGGTAATATTTGCTAACTTTTGCGTACAAATGCTAACGTTAACATTATTGATAAATGTTTTATTTTCAGAATAAATAACCTTAACTAAATGTATTAGTTTATGTGTGCTTATTTATAACACCTTAAAATACAAAGATTTGTTTGGGACACTAGCAATTTGGTTCGTGACAGTGAATTTTCAGGTTGCTTGCCCGACTGGGCAAGTTGGAAGAAAAGTTAACATTGAACCCCGACCAGAATAATATATTTCTTGCAGCCATGAGTATACATATTTGGAAGGGTTTTGTTTCATACGTATTTAGTATCTGTTCTATAACTGGATGAGTTACCAGTCCTGATCTCCAAAGAACCCCAATTGTGTAATCTATAATGGGACCAAAATTAAGTGAACATTTAGTATTGGAAATATTAGAAAACAGTAAATCTTGAAGTCTAATTGGATGCATCAGTACTTCTTCCAAACTTCTCCAAGAGGCAGTCGATGAAGGGTTCATCCATGTTGTTATGGGACACAACTGGAAAGACTAGTGGTAAAATTTGAAATGTGGTAGGTATAATCCCCCTTTTGTTTTGGGACGCTGCAAAGAATTAAATCATAATTTAGGGTGTTCACCATTCCAAATATATTTGCGCAGCAGTTTACCTTCTTTAATCCAGTAGCCAGATGGTGGTAGTGAAGGAATCATCATACTAACAAAATTAATACAAGTTAACATGTTCATTTTAACTGTTGTCTAAAGATGCTGGCATGGTAAGTCCATCTCACACAGTCATGCTCCATTTCCTGGTATATATTCTCAATTATATTTCACTGTGCCCGTCAAAGAAGTCTGAATGTTTATACCCAAATAATTCAACTGTGTTCTGACAGGAATTAAAATGAATTTAAAAAATCGTTTTATACGGTTTTCTGTTTAATTTTCATGGCTTATTTCAGTGTATTTTGCTGCGTGACACGCATGGAAAAAAACAAGCGCCTAGTCTATTCTCTAAACAGTCTTGGACGCTCTGCCGCTTCAAAAGTGCAGCCTGTGTGAAAGCTCTGACCAGTTAACATGGGTGCTGGAATGAAAAGCAAGACTTTCCGCAATCCTCACACCACACAGAAGCAGGATCTGTGAATCAGTCCTAAGCTATAAGAATTTGTGTGTTGTGTCACGTGATCTGTTGCTTTGCAACTCTTTAGAATGACTTCATTTTAATTGTTTTACTGTTATTCTTTTATATTTTTTCTATATGTGATTTAGTGCTTGTTCTACTTTTTTAAGGCTATTCATTTATTTGCGAGATTTCTCTTCCTGTGTGCTTCGGCCCGCTGTGCATGTGGGGTGGGTGCACTGATGCCTGGCCCCACCTATCAAAAATGCGTTACATGGTCCAAGGTAACAGTGTCTCTGTTAATGTACAAAAAAAAAATAATAATAATAAAAAAAAAAGGGGTAGACAGTGCCAGTTTGCCCAATACCCCAGGCCAGACTTTGGCCAATACGGATGCAGAGCCTGTGGTCCGAGTAGTTTAAATTCTTTTCCCGATTAACAAACCTATTCTTTCAGGCTTGTAACTCATTAGACATATCAGATTTTGTTGCACTTGAGATTTGTCATTGAAGCATTCTTGTTGTCAACACAATATGAAAAATAAACATTTTTCAGCAACACTTTATTTTAAAGTCTGCTTCTTAATGATTACTGAAGTTAGCATGCTTAGAAATGTGGCATAAATGTGTTTACATAGTGTGTTAATAAGGTCTTCTGTGAATTAGTTATTAAGTGCTTGTTGACTTGAGTTAAAATAATTCTAATCTTTCAGTTGAAAACGAGCAACGAGGAACATGAACAGGTAACAACTATCTGAACTCACAAACATGGTTGTAAATGCTAGTAAATGGT